GCTCACTGCAACCTCTGCCTCTTGGATTCAAGTGATTCTCCCACCTCAGCCTCCTGAGTAGCTGGGATTACAGGTGTCCACCACCATGCCCGGCTAACTTCATATTTTTAGTAGAGACGGAGTTTCTCCATGTTGGTCGGGCTGGTCTCAAACTCCTGACCTCAAGTGATCTGCCTACCTTGGCCTCCCAAAGTGCTGGAATTACAGGTGTGAGCCACCGTGCCCGGCCCACACATTCTATGTAAATGCAAAGCAGGCCCAGTGAGGTGGCTCACACCTATAATCCCAGCACTTTGGGAGGCCGAGGCAGTTCCAGCACTGCCTCTCAGATCTCAATGCAAATGCAGGATAAATTTCCATATTTCAAAATCCATTTTATTGTGGAATTTGAGGCTCTTCCACCTAACCTTTGTTTGGGAGTAATTAGTCTAATTAGTCTTCAAAGTATGACATGCTAAAAGGCAAATATCACGTGAAGAATCTAATACAATTCCTTGAAAGTCTTCTAAGAAGTTAATATGCTCAACTAAAATTATAAGCTCATTCTGGGACGTATGGTGTTTCTTGGTGATGGTTATACAATATGATAAGCATACTAAAAATCATTGAACTGTACCCTCTAAATGGATGTACACACTTTTAAATGGTTAAAATGGTGAATTTATATGTTGTGTAAAGTTTACTTCAGTTAAGAAAATTATAAGTGTATGGAGTATATGCCAGTACCTATCAATGTGAAAGACATTTTCAAAGAGGAAATACGTAGAATTTCGTTACAGGTCAGATGAGCAGTTGGAATTGATTTTGTTGATAGGGAACACTAACTCTGAACCCCAATTAAGCAAGATGGTTTTTGTTAATTCCATTCCTTTCATTGATAAACCTAGCTTACAAAAAGTTGTACTCAGTTGTTAGATTCTGAATTTTGTGAAAATTTGTCTTCTCTTGCTATGTAAATACCTGTGTAATGTCCTACATTTGGCCTACTGGCTTGCAGTGCTTACAGTATTTACTGTCTAGCCCTTTGCAGAAAAAATTCATTAACCCTGTTTTTGCACATAGACTAATGCATTTACTAGGAGGACAGTTTGTATTTATGGAATGCTGTTAAGAGTATATCCTTGGTTAGGGATTGCTTATGGCAAACATACCTAGAATCTGGATTTAAACCTTCCTAGAGAGTGTCATGCAAGCTACACAGCTCTGAAATATAAAATGGAGATGTATCATGACTCAAACCTTCTCACTGTGTGAGGTAACCTGCTACATTAATTTAGAGGCCTCACCTATTATTCTGGACAGAGTGTATGATGTGAGAAAGAAGGAACTAGGAAGCTAGCAGGGATTCCCCGGGTCTCTTCCTACTTTGCCTGTGCCTCTTGATTGCTTTTTATTTTGCTTTTGTGGGGTTTTGTTTGTTTGTCTGTTTTTGTTTTCTTTTTTGGAGACAGAGTCTCCCTCTGTCGCCCTGGCTGGAGTGCAGTGGCACGATCTCGATTCACTGCAACCTCCACCTTCCAGGTTCAAGCAATTCTTGTTTCTCAGCCTCCAGAATAGCTGGAACTACAGGCGTGAGCCACCATGCCTGGCTAATTTTTTGTGTTTTAGTAGAGATGGGGGTTTCACCATGTTGCCTAGGCTGGTCTTGAATTTTTGAGCTCAGGCAATCTGCCCACCTGGGCCTCCCAAAGTGCTAGGGTTACAGGTGTGAGCCACAGCACCTGGTTTGATTGCTTCTATCTTTGAAATTATTTGTAAAGATTGACACTAGGCAAGTTGTCTGATATTTGTGAGCGAGATTTACAGTACAATCCTGTGTTAGGTCAAGCACTATTCATGTATTTGAAAGGCT